AAAATATTCACCAAAATTAGAGAATTAAAGATATCATTACAAAATGAACAAATCTGAGAGAGGTCCACATGTAGTACCTATATATGTATTATCAAAGCATTTGCACTTGCGGTTTTTAACAAGAAGTCGAAAATATCACTTTTTACCAAAAATGACAAAAATATCCATCAAAATTAGAAAATATAAGATATCATCATGAAAAGAACAAATCTAAGAGAGGTCTACTCAAGGTACATATACACCAAGTATCAAAGCATTCAGGCTTGTAGTTTTCATGAAGAAGTCAAAAAAGTAGAAACGGACGACATATGCCGACGGACAATCACTCATATGATAAGCTCTGCTCGACAAAGTCGACAGAGGGGCTAATAAAAACAGAAGAGAGAATCAACAGAAATTACACACCATTTACAACATGCAAGATGTAGTCCATTTATTACATACTGTATATGACTTAATTATTTGCTTGGTTTGATTTGACCTTATTGTTCAAACAAATACGCTAAATTAAAACCCAGTGAATAACAGTATATATACTCTATACAGTATGCCTAAGAAGAGTGCTCATACTTATTCCATTCACCAACTCAATGATTCTTCCATGAAAAATTTACTAGGATTAAGAAAACATTAAGGAAATAAGGGGACTGATGTTTACCAGCATAAGTAATTCCTAAACCAATGAGAGATGCCTATATTCTAACACTATTGGAATAATTGCTAGAATTCAGGTACAGTGGAATGAAATCATGTAACACAACTTACATTTGCCACAACTCTAATTCTAAATTGTTGGCAACATTACTCCTGACACACACATCCACACAAAGTATTACAAATGAAGTCAACATTCAAAATTAACACTTACAGCTTTATTATGATTCCAAGAGTCTTCACCCCATCTGTGTACTTTGTTATCATCGTGTAATCTTTGCTGTGCTTCAGATCCACTTGAACTATGTTGTAACCGTGATGTACTAGGTGATCCTAATATATTATGTAATCCTAACTGACTCATACCCGGTGGTGTCGGATTTGGTTGACTCATAAATGCTGCAGCAGCCTGTAGTACCACATAAATAAATATAAATTTATAAACTTAGTAACTTTTTTTCTAATAGTAAAATTTCATTTCTAGAAAAACACAGATTTCCATATTTTTTTGTCGAGACACGAGCTATTAACCATACCTGTTCTAATTGTTGTTGTTGATGTTGTTGTTGTTGTAGATGCTGTGGTACAAATGGTGGCGGCAGCTGAGACAGCGGAGAAGACCCTGTACTATTTGACTGTGATATTTGCTGACTATTGACGTTTGGATTAGTACTACCACTTCCTGGTATATTCACTGGAGCTGAAGAACCTAACACACCACCTGGTGAAACAAAAAACGAAAATATCACAAATAAGAAATGTAAATTTATTGTTCTATTTAGAAAGCATCATATGCTTATGTAACAAACCATTTTGGCTTGTACCGGTATATGCTCAGTTATCAGAAATGAGCAAGTACAACACTCAAGTTAGATTTCAAAATAAAATAATAATAAATTCTTTGCAATATCGAACTTGGTCACTTAAAAATTGAAAATAATATTTTTATCATATGTGTGATGTTTATCCACTTGTTAGTATTTACTTCACACAGGTCGGCCATGGCAGGGAAATTGTTCAAAAAATGTGCTTCGAACCAAATACATTAAAAATTCATTTTGTCTTTCTTAATTTCATGGCTTATATGTGTCCATTTGGCTAAGTTGATTTGGAAATCACGTACCATTACCATTGCTGGAATTCATTTTTGCTGAAAAGGCTTTTTGGGTGTTTTGTATGGAATTTATTTTCACTGATTTTTGATGAGTTTGATGTGAAATATAGGAAAAAAAGGTATATTTGCTGGATTTTATTTTCACGGAATCATCCCTTCAGCGAAAATAGCAAAAATAAATTCCAAGCGAAAATAAAGTATTCTACAGTACTTGTTTATGATTATTTCAGACTTATTTAAAACCAGTTCAAGTGGTTTTTGGTTTTTCAAAGCAGTTTGTTATATATGTAATGACATAAACAAACAATTGTTTGCAGTTTACAAGACATTCAGTTTCTGTGATTGTCCGTGTGTTACTGTTAAACGTTTATCGTATGTAACATTGTCGTTTGCACACTCACCTACAGCAGCTCCAGAACTGACCATACCGGCTCCAGAACTCCCCATACCGGCTCCTGAACTGCCTATTGATGCTGTATCATTGTCTAATTCTTTATCAAGTGTATGAACATCAAAGTCATCAATATTTAAATCATCAAGGGCATTACCTGATAGAAAAAATTCAAATTAAAAATGACACCATATCCAGGTTTTTCAGAATAGTGTTAAATACGGGAACAGACTTCTATTATGTAATCAAGACGAACCAAGTCTCCAAATAGCATTAATTATTTCTACAACTTCAATATAAACATTTGGGTATATAAACACATGAAACGCCATTCTCAGCTAATTCAAACAATTCATAGTCTTTGACAATAAGAATTGCTAGAGTAGTAGTTGTAAACTATCTTGTCAAGACTTGTCAAATGGTTATAAGGACATAAAATTGGCACTGGCATGTCGTTTTTTTCGTGACAAATATGATTACCATTGGTCAACGAAACAAAAAACAAATCAACATGCAATTGTATGCCATTATCACTAGTGTTTTTAACAACATTGAACAAAATCAGGCAAGGACACATAAACAAAAATTAACATGGCTGCCAGTCATCCAATTTGCATCAGTGAACCAACAAGCAGCCAGTCAGCTGAGATAGCTCCGCTGTTAGCAATGCACATTTCAATTAAAGAACAGAAGATATCATTAGAAAACGAACACTATGTATAGTATCAAAGCAATGGGACTTGCTGTTTTCAACAAGAATTCAAAAATATCACTTTTCACCAAAAATGACAAAAATAATCATCAAAATTAGATAATTGAAGATATCACCACGAAATTAACAAATCTGAAAGAGGTCCACATGTATTAACTATATATGTAAAATAAAAACAATCGGACTTGCGGTTTTCAACAAGAAGTCGAAAATATCACTTTTTACTAAAAATGACAAAAATATTTATCAAAATTAAAGAATTAAAGATATTATCACGAAATGAGCAAATCTGCGAGAGGTCCACATGTAGTACCTATATATGTAATATCAAAGCAATTGGACTTGCTGTTTTTAACAAGAAGTCGAAAATATCACTTTTTACCAAAAATAAAGAATTAAAGATATTATCATGAAATGAACAAATCTGAGAGAGGTCCACATGTAGTACCTATATATGTAATATCAAAGCAATTGGACTTGCTGTTTTTAACAAGTAAGTTGAAAATATCTCTTTTTACCAAAAATAACAAAAATATTCATCGAAATTAGAGAATTTGAGATTTTGACATGAAATGAACAAATCTGAGAAAGAACCATCCAAGGTACTTGCATATCAAATTTGAAAAAATTCTGACTTGCGGTTTCGAAGAAGAAGTTGAAATTGTAAAGTTGACGACGACGGACAATCAGTAATATGAACAGCTCCGCTGTGTCGACTTTGTTGACAGCGGAGCTAATAAAGTTTAAAATACAGTTGTAGAAATTTTGTGATTTCAGCATTTTCAGATGAAATGGCAACCAGTAGATCAGAATTCTATGAAACAAAAAATAACTAATATGCCTACCATTATGGTTTTTTTGACAAAAATTACAGCCAATCGGTTGAAAGTCAACGTAAAGAAATGCATATATACCATTATTACTTGTGAGAAATGACAAAATTCAACACTTTGATAAAGATCAAATACAAATAATTGTTATTCAATTTTAAGAAATCTATACTTTTCAACCTATACATAGCAAAGTATTGTTCTGGTGGTTGTGACAAAAAACCAACGAATTGAAGGATTGTAACTTACCAACAACTGATTCTACGGTGTCAGTAGCAGGATAGAATGGTTGTGCCATTGGAGATACTTGAGATAAAGATGATGGTGTAGGCGGTGTAGATGCTAACGGACTACCAGGTGTCATATTTTGAGACATCAACAAATTCTGAAAATAAACATATGTTACAGCATGTCATGCCCATTTTTCCATCAATGTATCAATAGTAATAATATTTTGTCGATTGTCAACAAAAATCAAAACATTTCCATAAATCAAAAGCTATGAACCAAAGTTATACTGGAACAGGGTCCATAGCACCAAGAGCCAAATGATTCCCAAGACTTTTCCAGACCTTTTCCCAAACTTTCTTGCATTTTTTCAAGACATTTTGACCCATAATTCAGGCCAACATCATCACCAAAGCTCATCAAAGTTCTGAGGATATGGTAATTCCCTGGAGAAAATGAGCCTTTCTAAAATGAATTAATAACTATGAAGAAATTTAAAGACTTTTCAAAGATTTTTTTTCATTTTTCCTGTAATTTAAAGACAACTCAAAGACTAGACTGGCACAGTCAGGGCGATTAATTTGTTTTTGTAGTTTAAATAAAATTAAATAAATTGCGAAATGGAGGTGTTAGGCAAAGTCCCTTGTAACTGCGAAATCACCCCGACTGGTTTACTCTGCATGGCCCTCTATCGACACTGCAGGAACCAGTCGATTTTTCAACGGGTAATTATGTTAATGAGTGTTCTAATTGACAATCATCTGAGCTAATCACAGCGTCTCTTCAACTGACCTGTGACCGAAGAAGACGTCGGCTGATTGTAGCAGTCGATATTTTTTTAGTCGAGTTACTTTTTTACACATTGTGA